GTCTGTGCTCAGTCTTAGAGCCAGGGTGTGGAGCTCGTTCTTTCAGGAGGCGCGCAGAGTACAGCTGCTACTCCTTCATAGCGTAAGGAACTAGCTGAGGTGGCTTGGGCATCTGATCTATGTGTCTCCTGCTCCTGGCTTCGAAGTGAGGTAATTAAGACTTGATCTACAGTAGCTACCTTAGCTTACCAACAATTCTGATTTACATGGAAATAATATGTAAGAAGACCTCTGTGTTTGGAGAATGATAGCTGGTGAATTATAGATGACCTGTGCAGTTATTGTTAATCACAAGTTTCTGAGTAGTGGTCGTCCCCTGGGGCTGTCTGGTTCATTTAGACAGACTGCTGGTGCAGAGAGTGTAAATCATCTGTGGGGTTTTCTGTGTTTCCAGACAGTCTGAGCTGTCAGTGAAGCTAAACAGACAGCTGGAGAGATGCCTGAGAAACTCCAAGTGCATCGATACGGAGTCTCTGTGTGTGGTGTCTGGAGAAAAGGTAACACATACACACAAGACAGACACGACAGACAGAGAGAAGCTTTATCTATTGATGATGATGATGATGGTGGTGGTGCCTGCTTGCGGGTCTCTAGGTGTGGCAGATCAGGGTGGATGTTCACACACTGAATAATGATGGAAACCTGATGGATGCCGCCAGCATCGCCGCCATCACCGCTCTGTGCCACTTCAGGCGCCCTGACGTCAGCACCCAGGGACAGGAAGTCACAGTGGTGAGTCAGCAGCACCACAGCAGGTGGTGTCTGAGCTTCCCTGGACCTGCTGGGAGAAAATTGATGATGTTATTGTTTTCATGAGAATTCTGCTTTATGTTAGCTGTATTTATTTTTTTTTTAAATTTCTGTCTTCAGTACAGTCCAGAGGAGAGAGACCCCATTCCTCTGAGTATCTACCACATGCCCATCAGCGTCAGCTTCGCCTTCTTCCAACAAGGGTAAAACACTGCTTCTCACAAGATTTCTTCTCCTCTGTATCAAAATGTTAATGTCATGTTTACAGGTGCAGCAGGTTTTAGTTAACTCAGTATATTCAGTAGTGTTTATAGAGAGTCACTTCAGACCTCCACCAGAACAAAACTCGTGGTGGGGCAGCCCTCATTAGCCTGCCACGACCAGCTGGGGAGTGAGGGGAAGCTCAGTGCATTGAGGCATGAAGACAGTGCCGTGGTTGCTGGTGTTACACGGGCCAGGGTATTTCAGAAACTGCTGATCTTCTTTTCCCACATGCAAAAACAGCACCTTGATTTCTGCTGTGACATTTGCATGATAGCAACTGAATTTGGGGTAAACGATGTGAAAGCATGAATCCACCCTGCCTGTGATGGTGTGATATTATGAGGGACCTTTTTTTTGGGAAACTCTGGGTTCCTCAGGAACAAATGTGCATTGTTTCAACTCCACAGCCTGCCTGAGGGTTGTTGCTCAACATGTTTATGATCAGTGCACACATGGTAAAACTCAGATCATCTCAACCTGATACTGGCGAGGTGTACCTAATAAATTTGCCAGTGAGAGTGAATATAAATTTGACTTTAGCGGCACAACTGAGTGCG